TGATATGGATATTTCTCTAGCTGTGCATTTGTTTACTGAGGATGATTACTATATAATGTCATGCTGCTCTCGTCTGTGATATCAAGTACTTCTTCTTGAAGGATTTTCGTATCAAAGTTCAATATGCATATCTCGGAGGAAATAAATGGCACTGACTGGTTGACAAATTTTTACTTCTCGTTGCAGTTTAATCTTTATCTATATGCTCATGTGGCAGGTGATCTCTAACAGTTTATCATAAACGATATCATAAAAGTTTATTGGCTCAGAATGTGTTTGAGAAGCCCTTAGTTTTTTTTTTTTTTTTAAGTTTTTACCTCTTTTTGTAACCAAATAATATATATATGATACCTACTGCAGGAATTATTATCATACCAAACAATGGATTTGCATGGTTGGAATTCAATAAAGTTGAAAGTTTGTGATATGGGCTTTTACATAGTTTTGTACAGTGCCAAATATAAACAATCATAGTTTGGATATCAAAAGTTCAGATTTGAGTTTGATCTCTTAAAACTTAAATTTAATATGGTTTTAATTTATAAAACTAAGAATCCTTTTTTGAGTTGAGATCGGATTTCATAAATTAATTTTAGTTAAAAAAAACTCAATCCAAAATGGATTACATTCATATAAATATATTATAGATATCAAATCAAAAAAATATGAATAATAGATCGAGTTAGGATTTTCAGAGTTAAAAGTACCTAAACCTAACTCATCTTCCCTTAAGAAAAAATAACTAGACATGATCAAATCTAACTTAATTTTTTTCCTTGGTCAATAGAAAAACAGCTTGTGGATGAGTTTCAGAACTTTTTGCCGTCTTTATATATATGTACGTATGTATGTAAATATTCCCATATAAGTCTGCAATAAAAACAAAATTGCTGAACGAAAAAAAAAAAAAAAAACACCAATCAAGAGTCAAAGTGTATGTTTATAATTGTTTGAATTAGTCTTTTACTTCTCTGAATATAATTTTTTTAATTATATAAAATTATACGGAAGCAAATAAATTTATAATAAAAATATTTAAAAAATTATGATAACTTAACTTATGACAATAATCTATCAAATAAATAAGATGTGAAAAAAAAAATATCTAATTAGGAGCTACGAGTTTAAAATTTATGATTAACACAAATAAATTACATAAAAATATAATTATATTCAAATTTTATTTTGATAATTAAAATATGTAAATAGATAATTAATACATTAATTTAGTAAAATATATTTTCAGATTATAAAAATAAATAAATAAATAATTATTATAGTGTCAATTCTGGTTATTGTTTAAATATATATATATTGATATTTAATTAGAACTACGGTTGAGTAAGTAAAAACCATGGGCTTAGTTAGTCAACCCAATGGGAATCACGAAGAAACATTATGATTTTGATAATAGGAAATTGGTATACAGTGTGTGTGTGTGTATATATATATATATATATATATATATATAATATTTAATTTAATACAAGTAACCTCAAGACTGCGAAAAGTCATATGGGAACATGGTTTGCGTGGGAATTAATTATTAGGGATTTCAATGTCATTAATTTTATTTCGCTCTCATATACATACATACATACATACATACATTTATTTTTACTAATTCAACTAAAATTCTTAAAATAGAAAAAGAATTAATTTTCTCCTGGTCCTAGAGTCAAACGCATTTAATTGCATTAAATGCAGTCCGTTTACATATAATTAATACGCATTATATTATTAAAATATTCATATATTTATTATAATAAATCAAATAATGAAAACGAAAAGTCAAGAAAGTACTTAAACTTGGTGAAAAAATTGGATTTTTATACGTGCCTTTATTTTAAAGATTATTAAATAGATAAATAATAAAAGAGTTAAATTATTATATTCTCAAGAAAATAGGATATCTATTTATAATTATACCTAAATTAAGTATTTCATATCATTTATTTAATTTTTTTTTTTACTTTTTTTTTTAAAAGTAAGAAGATACTTTATTAGTACTTATACCATTTAATTTATGTTTTATATTTAGATAAATTACATAAAAATTCTATGCTTTTTAGTATAATTACTACTATTATTTCTAAAAAAATAATAAATTAATAAAAATTATATATTTTTACTTATTTATTTAGATAATATGTTATCGTGCACACTCTTCTTTCTCATGTTAATTATAAAAATATACATATATGTACATGGGATATATATCTATATATATCTATATCCTAAAAGCAATATTTGTATTTTTTGAAAAAAAAATAATATTTTTTATTCTTTGTAGTAACTCTTAATGCAAATATAACTTGTATTTTTAAATATCTTCCATAAAAAAAAAAGTAGAAAAAGAAGGAAAAAAAATTAAATAGAATTAATTTTATAAGGAGAGAGATGCATAAGAGTTATTCTATCAATATTTTTGAAAGTTATAACCGCATAATTATTTTTTAAAAAAATATGATATTTAAAAGTGAAAAACAATTTAAATAAAATTTAAATTTCAGATTATACTTGAATTAAAAATTACTTCAAGGGTTAATAAAAAATACTCTTCTTCTTCTTTACTATATATTTAATTATCATTACAGATCCACTCTTGATCTTCTCTCTCTCTCTCTCTCTCTCTCTCTCTATATATATATATATATATATATATATATATATATATATATATACACACACATATATGTTCTTACCCACTCAACTAATGAGAATATATAGTCAAACCCTAAATTTATTTTTAAACAAGGTGAGAAAGTTGAAGTAAAAAATGGAACCTAAAATTTAAATTATTAATTTTACAAAAATATAAATTAAATATTATACAAACGACGGACACTAAACTATATTAAAAAACATTGTTGTAATCGTTGTGGACTCAAACCAAAACTTAATAATACAAGGCCAGAATATATAATTACATATATATGTATAAACAGGTATAATATATAATATCAAGGTGGTGGATTCTTCCAATTCTTTAATTGAATATATAAATTTTATAAATTTGATTAAGCAAGCTAATGAGCAAACAATTAATTGAAGTACAGTTGTAACATATAGCCCATAAATTAATACCGATATGTAATATTTTATATATATATACATATCTGTAAGTGCTTACATCTTCTATTCTATAATTTACAACCTCTCCTCCTAAACTTCCTTCAACTTCATTTGAGTTTAAGTTAATCCTTCCTTTCTTTCTCTCTTCCTTCCTTTCTTTCTTTCTTTTTTTTTTATTCGGTTTTGATCTGGTGCGTGCAGATCATCAATCACCAGAAATTTATAACAAAGATGAAGATGAAGATGATGGAGATGGAAATAGAAGTTTGGAGAATGGGTTTGATTGCAGGTATGATGGCATGCATTTGGATGGTATGGAAAGTTATAAACTGGGGCTGGTTGAAGCCGAAGAAGCTGGAAAAGTGTTTAAGAGGACAAGGAATAAACGGAACTCCCTATAAGCTGCTTATTGGAGATATCAAAAAAACCAACATGATGAACAAGAAAGCCCAGAGCAAACCCATGGATTCCCTCTCTCATGACATTGTCTCCCGTGTCCTACCTTTTGAACTCGACGTTATTACCAATTACGGTAAACTAATATTCATAATTAAGTAATAAACATGCATCAATTATAATAAAGTAAAAATAAAATATAAAAAAAGTATTACAACTATTATAATCATTACAAAATATTTTTTAGGTATATCTTTCTTGATAAAATGGTAAGTAATCATCTTTCAATTTTCTTCACAAAAAAACAATAGAAGTTTTTCATTAGTTCCACTATAGTTATATTATATATAATTTTATGTGTATGCATGCAGGAAAGAATTCATTTATGTGGAAAGGACCATGGCCGGTTTTGATTTTGATGGACCCAGAAATGATTAAGGAAGTTTTGAACAGATTTAATGAGTTCGAGAAGCCACGACTGACATCCCTGCCTGCAACTCTGGCGAGTGGACTTGTTGTACACGAGGGTGACCAGTGGGCAAAACACAGAAGTCTTCTCAACCCAGCTTACCGTGTTGACAAGCTGAAGGTACTTATGGTTTGTTATTTTTCACATATGTGTATATGTATAAGTAACCTGTGTCTTTCTTTTTTTTTTTGGTGTGTGTAAGTTTATGTATATATGTGTATATTATAGCTTATGCTACCAGCTTTTGAAGCGAGTTGTGAGGAGATGTTGAAAGAATGGGAAGCTATGGCCTCAGCAAAAGGGTCATTGGAGGTGGATATGTGGGCTTGTTTTCATGATTTATCTTGCAAAATGCTTGCTCGAGCAGCTTTTGGAAGCTACCATGAAGAAGGTAGAAAGATATTCCTTCTCCAAAAAGAACAAGTTGATCTTGGACTCCAGGCCCTCAAATCTCTTTTAATCCCTGGAGCCAGGTACATTAGATTCACCTTTCCTAAATTTTTCACATTTCATTCTTAATTTTCTTCTGGGTACGTATATATTTTTCAAAATAACTTCTGAGTTCATATGTACATATATATATATATATGGTGACGCATGTATATAGCTTAAGATTGTATATAAACATAGACATATGATTCATTTTCAGATACATTCCCACAAAAAATAATAGGAGGTTGAACGAAACTGAGAAGGAAATGATAACTTCGTTTAAAGCGATCATTAACAAAAGAGAGAAGCTAATGGAGAGAGGAGAAACTTTTAACGACTTACTGGGTTCTTATATGGAATTGAATTCAAAACAAATTAGAGAACATGGAAAGAAAGCTGGAATGACACAAGCTGAGCTTATTGATGAATGCAAGGCTTTCTACTTGGCTGGGGAAAATGCAACCTCCGTCTTGCTAACATGGACGATGGTTCTGTTGAGCATGCACCAAGATTGGCAAACCAAAGCAAGAGAAGAGGTTTTGCAAGTTTTTGGCAATAAGAATCCAGATTTTGAAGGCTTAAACCGCTTAAAAATTGTTAGTACTTAATTTCATTCTCTAAGATCTAATAGTTATAACGTAAATAATTGATTTTGATATTTTCTGTCAACTTAATTTTCAAAAAAATCAGTTTGATCAATTATTTAAGTAGATGGTATATGATATAATTAATTATTTAGATTCTAATACTGATTGCGCGAAGACTAAATTGATTGTCTCAATCATAACCCTTTTTCATTTTATGTAGGTAACGATGATTCTTCATGAGGCATGTAGACTATATCCCCCTGCAGTCTTCCTCCTTAGAATGGTTTATGAGGAGACAAAGTTGGGAAAATTGACGTTACCTCCAGGACTGATTATCATGTTGCCGATAATGTTGGTTCAACATGATTGTGATCTGTGGGGAGATGATGTGAACGAGTTCAAGCCAGAGAGATTTGGTGAAGGAGTCTCCAAAGCAACCAAGGGCCAACTTTCTCATTTCCCCTTTAGTGGAGGTCCAAGAACTTGTATTGGACAGAATTTTGGAATGTTGCAGGCTAAACTGACAATGTCAATGATTCTGCAACGTTTTTGGTGTGAGGTTTCTCCATCATATTCTCATGCTCCATACCCTTCTATCACTCTTCAACCTCAACATGGTGCTCATGTACTTCTGCATAAGATAAGTGTAGACTAGTCCAAGTTTATGCAACTTTCTTAATTGCAGCCTTAAAGTTCAAACATATAATTGTGAGAATAGCATTTATGTTTTTTATTTTTTGTTTACGTCTATCCCGTGATATGTAAGAAGTTAAATATTGAGTATGTGTATGTGATATATAATGAAATAAATATATTAGAATATTTCTTATTAAAGAATTTTGTTAGCATTAGTTGTCATTCAATGTATTTTTTTAAAAATATATATATAATTATTGAATTTTATAAAAAAAATCAAATAATATATTACTAATAATTTAAACTTAAACATTTAAGAATTAATAGTTTATATCAAAAAATTTGTTGGATTAATATTTCTTAAACTCTTAAATTGTTATGAATGATATCAAAACAAAAACAAAACCTCTTATTATATTATGTCTACAAAGTTATTTTGGTTGAATATAATTTTAGATTTAGTCACATGACATACATCAAGCGCATTATCTATTCAAAAAACAAAATTTTTACCAACTTATTTTGTAAGAGAACCTCAAAAGTTCTTGGGCATCACTCTTAACATAAGCATGACCTACAATCATCTCTATCAAATGAAAGAACTTCCTCAACTACCCTAAGTGTAATACCTATATCTGAAAATCGTCCCGGAATGAATTTTTTTATTTAAAAAGAATATATTAATGAGGAATTTTATTTATTTTTGTTAATTTTTTTTAAAAAAATAGATAAGGGACAAAATTAAAAATAATTTTAAAAAAATGAGTGAATTTTTGAATATAGAGAGTGTTTTTTAAAAAAAAATTAAAAACATAAAGCTAAATCGTAAAATAAAAAATTTGGTCACGTGAGACGACCCATTCAGCAACTCGAGCGAACTAGAGCACGTCATATGGCAAGTGGGCTAACATCGGTTCCATGCGAGAGGCCACGCGGCGACCGCGTGCCTGGTTGATCTGACGGCCCAGATCGTATCCCGCGCACGTGAATCACCCAGATGCATTTCTTTTTTAAACGCAATCGAACAAACGAGATTGATCGCAATGAAAATTTCTGATTCGTTCACGCAATCAACCTAAATGAAAAATCATCGAACGACCCTCCTCGTTCTATGTGTCCCCGAACGGACAGTCCAGATCGATACGGTATAGGTATTTAAACATCACGTCGTAGGGGAACCTAACCCTAGCCACCCAGCCCTTGTCGAAGAAGAAGAACCAAACGTCGAAGAAGGAGGTTGATCTCTGATTGTCACCGTACCAGAGCCACCACCGACTGTCAAAAAAAGTAAAATTTTTACCTCCATGCTCGGAATTCAATTTCGAGCCTCCCTATGGCCATATCGGAATAAAATGGATGGCGGGTGAACCAAAAATTCCGGACAGAGCCCGACAGAACTACCGTAGCCAAAACCCTAAACCCTTTCCGATGACCCCTTTTCCGTTTCTCCATTTACATAATTTTTTTTACCATTGTGTTCACCGTCCTTTTCTGTGTAGGTTAGCCGAAGAAGAAACTCTAGCCGCAAAGGTGAACCGATGGAGCTATCAGACTCGGAGAACCCCTTTCCCCACCGGTAAGTTTGGTTGTTTTGATTTTCTGGCCAACTAAGGTCTCCTAACATATTTTTCTGCAGAGATACGTGTAAAAATGGCCAAAACAGCTAAAACCAGCGTCGTGGGCGGCGGAGCCGGTGCTACCATGTTAGAACCCTAAAATTGGCTGAAAAAGATATTCAACACCAATTTTAGATTTTTTTAGAGTAATTTTAGGTACGTAACGAGTATTTTTATTTTTGCAGGAAAAATTCAGAAAATTCGAGACCTATTAGAGATGCAGTAGATAATACAGCGTTTCGAAACACTGATCCGAGTAATCCTCACTCTATTATCTGTTACGGTAATAGAATGAATAATGATATGTTTTGTGAAAAATTAAAAAAAATCCTAAAAATAATTATAGATAACTAGTGGAGTCGAAACCGGTCAGTTTATATTTGCACTAGTTTGTCTGTGTTGCCTATTCATTTTCCTATG